TGTGAGTGTAAAACACTTAAATACACCAGCTCGATTTTCGATACCTCACTTGTTGTTAAACAAATGTTTAAACAACTCTATTTATTCAGTTTGTTTGTTTGTTATTAAGCACAAAGCTACACAAAGGGCTATCTGTGCTCTGCCCACCATAGATATCGAAACTCGGTTTCTAGCAGTATAAGTCCACTGGGGGGCGATGAAGAATAGAGGATAATATATTGAAAATGTATTTTTCAGTTTGTTATGATCCAAACTAAACTCTTTATGATTAATAATACAATATTCAGAATAAAAATATCTTATAACCCTGAGCAATATTCTTTCTTTTGACCGTTATTGTATATTTAATCGTTAAAGAAATGTATATTTCTTGAGTTAATTTTCAGTTCATAAAAATTCAGAATAGTCTTCTTCGATCTAGGAAAAGGTTAATTGTACAACAAAATTCATTGTAAGCTGGTGATTATATTACACATTATACTAGTGTTTTTAGAAACACTAATAAATAGTTTCTTGGAATTTAATTAATATGTAGATGTTCCACAATTTGACAGCAGAAGGTAAGGAATGTTTTTTTTTTTTTTTACGATTTACAAACACATTGTTTGTTTCAACTTAAGCACAAAGCTACACAATGGACTATCTGTGCTCTGCCTACCACAGGTATTGAAACCAGGTTTCTAGCGTTGTAAGTCCGCAGACATACCTCTGTGCCACTGGGAGGCCAAACACATTATGCCTTAATATGTATAGATTCCATAGCTACAATAAAATTATCAAAAGTGGGAAGAAAGTTGAGAACTAATATTATTGAACTATTAATTATACATAAGAATGGTGGTATCTTACTCGTCCATAATGAAACATTATCACGAGAGGCAGCTCATCAGACAGCAATGTCTCCAATTCTTGGCCATTTCTTAAATCATAAATTGACACTTTCCTCCCATTTATCACGTGATACTGTAAAACTCGTTTCAGAACATCATTATCTGATGCCACTTTCTGTAGCGTTTCTCGTGGAAGACGTTCGAAAGCCTTGTTTGTGGGAGCAAATATGGTAAATGGACCTGGAATTAGAATCATCCATGCTCACAACGTCAAACTTAACAAAACATGCAATACATTTAGTGGTATTTACGAAAGGACCAGTAAATTATAATATCAATATATATCTTTCTTGTTGTCAAATATTTTAAATGGAAGATTCTGCTCAAGATCGTCAGCAAATTACTATACCTCCCTTCCGCAGTCATCTAAACAAACAAACAAAATAATGAATCTCAGTCCTTTAGACATGAAAAGTAGCTTTTTATCTCAGACAGAAACAGCACAATACATGATGACGCTTTAACAGTAACCGGCGGGGATGGAAAAGTTATAGAGTCATGTTAAGAACGGCTTACAATCTCCAATAAATTAAGAGCAATAAAAAATTATATGTACCAGTTTGGGAATGGCCAAGTGGGGGTTAGAGTGCTAATTACATAATATTCAATAAACTTTAGCATTGAAAACTATTGCTTTTCGAAAGACCCGAATTCGTCATAATTTGAATATGAAATGTGCAGATGAGTTTAAATACCGATTAAGTTTATTTCCGTATAAACACGAAGCTGCACAATGGACTACCTGTACTATGTTCACCGCATAGATCTAACCCGAATTTTGGCATAATTTTGGCCTTCAAGCTTATTGCTGAACCATCGGTTGCTCCAATTAAAAGGCATGCCAGTTAGTAATTGTTTTCAAAGTTTCTCATATTTATTTCGTGTTTATCTTCTAGCCGAAGATATTATATAAACGGAATAAGTTTAAGTTTTGAAGCAACTTAAGAAGAAAGTAAGCCATGAATATAACGGTAGGAGACAGTCATTTAAGATGATAAGTGACACACTAATTACGTAATAGTTCGTTGGTAATCACGCGTAACCCAAGACAAAGATACAGGAAAAGGTAGCATAACAGCGATGTAATGTTTCCGTGTTAACCACGTTTAATCCAAAATAAAGATATGGATATAGGGGTCACATGAGTAATGATATAATTCTGAGTTAACCAAAATAAAGATAATAGTACATATTAAATACATGTTGAAATAAGTTATGCCTAATTCCTATATTTTTTGTTAAAGATTAACTCTTATTAATCATCGATTACTTCAGCGTGTTTTGTTGTCGCCTTTTCTGATCCGTTTCATATAACCGAAGTTTTCTGAAATTTGTTAGTAATAATAGATGTACATACCTTCTCCGGACAAGGTTTCTCTCAGTTCTGCTTGATCGATTAAAGATGTTAGATTGCTAAATCGTGGATTTTCAAGGATGTCTAAAACGGTATTTGTTGGATTATGGTTGTGAAATCTAGATCTGTAAGCCTGGTAATGAGGATTGTACCCATAGTACGGACGACTATAAAATCGATGGTAATATCGGGGACTGTATCTATGGTATCTGTAATGTCCATGGTATCCATGAGAGTTAATAAGACAAGTCGAGGAAATTAACACAAAAGTGACGAGTGCAATGCACTGCAGCTTCTTCATGAGTGTAAGTAGCGCGTTCGTTGACTTTTAA